CTGAAGAGGCATGACAGTTAAGTGTAGAACAGGATCTTGGGTGAGATGGCGCAACAGAGAAAAGGACGTCATGGGACAACTCATGGTGTGGTATGTAAACAGCCCAGTTCTTTCTCTTGGAGCAGGATAATTCCAAAAAGCACATTTTTTACTTTCCAGAGTTTCCCTGTAGGAGTCACCCCTAGTCACCCTGGTGGTAGTTAGCTTTATAATACACCCTAAATGGCTGCTGCCTTCCTTTCTCTGGCTCACTTCTACCTCCTGCCCTACCCAGTGTTCCCTGTACCTCTCAAATAAACGACCTGAAAGAAAGTCCTTGTCTCTGGCTCAGTTACTAAGGGAACCAAATTTAGGACATTTAATTCCATTTCTGAAACACACAAATTAACCTGTGATATTGGAGTTCTGGGCAATAGTTACCCTTGGGTGAGAAGAAGGCTGAGACTGGGTGGAGGCAGAAGAGGCCTCCTGGGGAATCAGTATCATCCTTTATTCTGATCTGAGTGCTGGTTTTATGACCATGTCCCACTTATGAAAATTTATTGATTTATGCAGTTAAAATATGTGTTTTTTGATAGGCACATTATAATTCAATAGGAAGTCTTTTTAAAACAGTTTATTAGTTTAGGCAGGGTGTTAGACTTTTTTGTTTTGTTTTCTATAGTGAAGGAATGAAAAAGTTTTCACCCACTGGCTTTTGCTATGAAAAAAAGGCTAACACATTTGCACTGAGCAAAACAACACAACATTTTTTATAATTATTTTTCTGGTCCATATGTAGCCACAAAACAGGAAGAGACAAAAACTAAAAAGATGGGAAGTTGGGCCCAGGTGCCCAAGAAAATAAGAAAGAGAAGAGATAAAGATGAGTTAGGCACACAGAACAAGAATGAAATAAAAGAAAGTAAGATATACCAAATGTATACATATATTTGGTGTGTGTGTGTGTGTGTGTGTGTGTGTGTGTGTATTTGAGAGAAAGAGGGAAAGGGGGTGGGGGAGAGAGAGAGAAATACATAAATATTTTTTCTCTCCACACTGTCATAGGGATTATAAAGATCCCTCTCCAAGGCTTAGAAGCATAGGCATTTAGGAAATTATATCCTTTTCCTATATTCAACAGAGAAAAATTCCTAAAATAATGTTTCATACTCAATACAGAAATTTTCTTTTAAGAAACCTTGTGTTGAGTGCTGAAGCATGCTTGTAATACCAGCCACTCAGGAGACTGAGACAGGAGGATCACAAATTTGAGGCCAGTCTCAGTAACTCAGCAAGGCCCTAAACAACTTAGACCCTTTCTCAAAATAAAAAAAGGGTTTGGGATTTAGTTCAGTGGTAAAGTACCCCTGGGTTAAATCCTCAGTACCAAAAAGAAAAATAAAGCCTTTGGGGTCAAACCCAGTTTACAAAAGGAAGTTCATCTCTTTTAAAAACATCATGCTTCCAACATGTGACCTTTATGTAGATTTATTGACAAAGGACTTGAGATTTACAGCCAAGGCAGAGAGGGGATTTCCTGTTGGCATCTGTACTGTTGTTTGAGGGGGGAAAACCTGTAGCACAAAGTGTGGAGTTGTGTTCTTTGTTTCATGAATTTGAAGAATAAAATCTATGGATACAGGGTGGGAACAAAGTAACAGGATTTATTAGAGTATTAGAAAGAAAGCAGAGATCCTAAAGAGGGGGGAGGTTCCAAGACAGGGATACCCAAGAGTGGCTATTGTCTAGGGGTTTATATAGATCTATAGGTTTGAAGAAGCCCCCTTGCACAATTCTGGGTAACACATTTAGTGTATTCATGCAGCCTTTACTCCAATCAAAATACCAATCAGGCATATTTCCTTCTTGGAGAGCCATGGACCCCAGTCACGTAGGTCCTGATTTAAAAATAGACTTTTTGTAAGTGTCCTAGCAAATACCTGCAGGTGCCGTTTGTGTTGTACTGCCCAAAAGTTACCCAGGGGCCATCTCCCTATCTGTTTAGCTTTATCTCTTCCTCCTGACGTCATGAGTCCTTGTCTGATATTCTCTACTCTCCTGAAAACAAAAATATTCTGAAAGATCCAGGCACAGTGGCACATGCCTGTAATCTCAGCAGCTGGAGAGGCTGAGACAGGAGAACAGCAAGTTCAAAGCCAGCCTCAGTATAGGTGAGGCACTTAGCAATTCAGTGAGACCCTGTCTCTAAATAAAATACAGAATAGGGCTGGGGATGTGGCTCAGTGGTTGAGTGCCTCTGAATCTAGTCTCCAGTACCCCCACTCCAAAAGAAAAAATTTGAAAGAGGGACAGGGTGTGTGCGTGGGAGTGGGGTGTCTCTCTCTCTCTCTCTCTCTCTCTCTCTCTCTCTCTCTCTCTGTGTGTGTGTGTGTGTGTGTGTGTGTGGTGCAGGGGACTAAACTAGGCGAATCTTAGGGAAATGTTCTATCACTGAGCTATACCTCCAGCCCTGAGATGAGATTTTTAAAAAAGTATAATTTAGAGATTTAAGATGTATCAAGAAAAATATTTTGAAAGATCGTCCCTGATAAGTGACAAGGTTCTATTTCTTTTTCTCCCTTGACGTTCCTAATACAATGACTGATTAGTTATGTGATTAATTAGAATCCAGAAGTAGCTGGTGTATAATCTTAGTACTTGATTCCATGAGCCAGCATTGATTTGGTGCCTGGGACAGCCTCTGGAAAGACCCCACATTTTCTTCCCTGTTGTACATTTGCTCTAGATACTGAAAGAAAGCCATGAGACTGGGGTTATGGTAGCTCCCTGCTAAGTCTGGCCTCCTACTAGGTCTGGCTTTCTGAAAGTCAGCAGTCCCAGGGACCATAGCTTGTGATTCCATCCCTCAGTACTTTTCATCCTAGGTTCACCCAGGGAAGATAGCCCAAATAACCCCTCTCCCACTTAATATCATCTGCATAACTTGTGGTGCTCAGTGCAAAATGAAAATGTGTGTGTGTGTGGGTCCTTTGTTCAAAGAATTTTTAAGAATCCAAACAACAACAGCAGAGCATTAAAGCAAGTGGAGCCATTCTAAACATGCAGATTTAAATGAGATACTTTAGGAGAAATATTGTATAAACATATAGCAAATAACTTAAGTCACTTAAATTGCACTTGGGGTAATCTGGGAAGTCCTCAACAAGGTAAAGGCTGAGGTTACCACAAAAGAAAGTCCAAGCATTGGACTGTATGGGGAAATGATAAGATTGAAGGTGAATGCTCACTATATACCAGGCACAATGATAGTTGTTTTACAAACATCATCCCACCCTTGCAGAATACCTATCTGCACAATTTCAATAATCTGAGAAGGAAAATTCAAAGAAGTTAAATAACCTACCCTTGGGCACACACAAACAAAACTAGTTTTTGGTTTGCTTTGTGGTGCTTCTTTTGTTGTTTTCTGTTGTAGGGACCAAACCCTAGGCCTCGCACACTAGGCAAAATTGCTCTGCCCTTGAACTACATACCGAGCTCCAGAAGTTGAGATTTATTTTAAAAAGTAAGTTAGTCTGACTCAACAACAACTCAGCAGAGGAAAATTCAAATAAGTGTGGGAATCGAATAGCTGGCTCAATGAGTGCTAGTAGGGAGCCTGGTAACTGGAGGATGGTTTAAAAGGAGGATTTTTGCCTATCATAAATGTGGCCTTGAGTCTTTTTTGTTTTTTAAATAGTTTTTTTTTAAAGAGAGAGTGAGAGAGGGGGG